AAAAAAATTCTTTTGGTCCCGTGCCACAGACTGGTTTAAGTATAGCACACGAGAACATGAAATCTCAGCCTCCTAAGGATTCGCTTAAATATAACCAAGATGTCGGAAAAATGTTTGACCAATACTTCGGGCACGAATATTCTGAACAGCAGTATTGTGAAACGCTTTTGGATGTTTTGAAATCATCGTACGAGTTTTCAACAGACGGACATGCAGCATTTGTGGAGCAGGTGTTAAAGGTACCTTACCGTTCATTTAATGGTCTTTCAGATTCGGGAGAAAAAGGCAACCGAGAATGAAACTTACGACCAGCTCGAGACCCTTATGCCAAAATGTTTTAGAATATCAGAAGACGAAAGAACTGCCGACCTGACTTCACTCCTGGAAGGAGAGAAATGTATCTGTGAATTTTTAATCGATTTTATGAATTTGCTCCTTAGGTCACCTTGAAAATTTCAAATCGCCATTGCTTAAGGAACATGGTTTCTTGAATTCCACTGATCTTCAGTGTTATCCAACATCCTTACTAAATCATTTCATGGATCCAAATAAGAGTCTATCTATCGATTCTGAGAGCTCCAAACTAATTCCAGGCAACTTACAGAGTGGGCCTAATATAAACGCAGGTGAGATTTTTGAATGCTTTTCGAGATCTTCAAAATCCGCCCACATTAATAGCTTAATGGCCTATGTGTATCTGGATCTAAGGTTCCTCAATAGCTCCTATGAAATGTGAATTTCCTTTTTAGTACCTGAACCAGTGAAGCCTCGGCCAACTGAAAAGTCGAACAAACCGCTCGGTTTACGCGAAACGGAAGAAGAGCTAGATAGAGGTCTTCAAAGATTAACGGAACCCGTGAGTGCTTTTGTGGAGTTTTCTATGTAACAATTATTTCATGAATAAATTATTTTATTTGAACTCAATGTTATATTTTTTCAGTTAAATTTCATGCGAAATCCGAGGTTTCCAAATACTGGAAAACAAACATTTCTCATAATGAATGACTTGCATGCCTTTGCTGTTGAGCCGAAAGATATCATCTTTGATTCTTTTGAAGCCGGTGAGACTTTTGAGGTAAGACAGTTATATATTTTTAAGGAAAATTTTCCGAAGTTTTTTAAACTAAAGAATCGTCATTTGAATTTTATACAGTAGTGGCTTTGAATAGATAAATAGACTATTGTGCATTGTTAGCAGCCACTGGTCTGGAAATTTGGGGATTTTGCAGTTCTAGCGTCAATATAACTTTCTCAAAATGCCTACCAAAACTGTTTAGTAAATACGCGGCATATAAAAGAACGATCGCAACTAAAAGATCAGGGTGAGTAACAAGGATTTTAAGGACACATTCACATTCTCACATTCAAAATACTTATGTGAAACAAAAAATCATTTAATTCAAATACGACGTTTTTTGAAAGTAAACCTATCTACGAAATGGCATTAAGTCATTGTGTAAATGTATTTTAATTACTCATTCAATTTTCGCTACGAGTTAGTAATTAATAATGTTGAATACCTGAGATTAAAAGCAAAAGAGGGAACGGGCTATTAAATTTGATATGAACGCACTACGCTTAGCAACCCCATTATAGTCTGCATATTGCGGCAAATATAGATCAGTAGAATCCGGATTAAGTTTTCCTTGCTCGAAAATAT